AATGATTTATATAAATGAAAGTACCTGAAAACTGGTGCATCCTGAATTTCCTTTCTTCATTAGTGATGTTCATCTGCTTCGTTTTGAGATTTAGTCTTTAAAACCGTTCCCAGCATGTTTGTACATTTGTATACAGTTACGTATATTAAGAATACAGTTTTGCCCGCTGCTATTCAAATAAGTTATTTATCCTCAAAACAAGATAGTGTCTAGTTTTTGATCAGTTGGAGTGACTCGCTGTGTTGGGTTGTATGACATGTCACCGTGTTACCAGAGGTACATGTATATTAATAGTTTTTACATATATTTGTGAGCAGTCATTAATCTCAAGTTGTAGCATCACTGATAGAGACGGTCGACAATTGATTGTCATTTACAACATACGCATTTTCACAGCTAGGATTAAAAAAAAACCTTTGCTTTATAATGACAGACATATTTAAGGTAAAACATTTGTCTCAAATGTAAAGAGTTATTATTGCTATTTTTTTTATTATCAAAAGGTGGGGGACTGATTAATGTAAGCCCGGAGAGTGAAAGTGCATGAGGTTCTGCTTGCTGAAGCTTCCTTATTTTTGACATCTTGTGTTTCAGAAGGTACACAGTTTAGGAGTGAAAACTGTATTTGGCACAGCATCGTTATTGTACAGTCTGGAATAGTCAAACGCTGAACACGAGCTCAGTATTTTCATGCATCTTCAGTCTTTTGGACATAAAAACCAAAGTAAGCTCATGTCAACTGCTCAATCAAGCTGCTTTGTAATTGGCCCATAACAAAAATACTCATCACCCACGTATCTAAAATCATGTACTCCTGTGTAGGCACTGTACTGGAGCACTGCTTGTGCTTGTGTTCTTGGGCTTTAAATGAAAGCCTGTCTGATTTAGGAGTTGTTTCCCTCCTCAGTCAACAAACTGTCAGAGAAAAGTATGAATTTGTCAGAAGCTTTTTGCGCTTTGTTTTGGATCTTCCCACTGTAGAATGGAAGTGTCACCTCATGCCATTCGCTGTCAGTCTGTGTGTTTTCATTATTCAGCCAACAACACCCTGGTAGTGTGCCAGCCAACGAGCACAATATCGAGCTTCAAATCTCTTCATCTGTGGTGAAAAAGGGCAAGCTAATACACTGGCTTTAATGCTGGAGGTGCTTTATCTTAGCACAGACCCAGATATATGGGTTGTGTAGCCCAGTGTGCACTGTCCTGTTGTCTGTGGCACAGCTTGTGAGAGGAGACTATTCTTTAAGTGCATGTGCACGACACGCACATGTGAAAGTGAACATGCAGCCTTTGTGTGTGCGCGCGCCCGTGTGTGTGTGTGTGTGTGTGTGTGTGTGTGTGTTTACATGTGGGTACATAAGCTGGCTATGGAGGTCACAGTACAGTATGGCGCCTTCACTCTGACAAGTAAACATGACCTTTGGTGCCACAATAAAAACTGCCATTCTTTATGACCTTGCAGTGTGATATTGTTTGTATAATTTTGCTGCCTTATTACTCACTCTTAAAAGTTAGGCTTGGTTAAGTTAAAAAATTGTATGTCTGTGACTTTGTGTTTTCAAACATGACACACTGTCAGAAAAGGCCTAAATACACACATTTTGGCATATTCTCTGTTAGACTGCACATAGACTGCGTAGTCGTCACAGGGCCCCTTAACATTTTTCATCAAGCTGTCATCCTTGTCTCAAAGCCTTTTAATATAAGGGGGTGTATGTTTGGGGGAAAAAAACTGAGTGAGCATCATAAAGAGGACAGTCTTAAGTGTATTGGGAGGAGCACTTGCATTCTGCTGCTTCCTTCCTCAGTTACCTACATTTGAAATTGAGAGATTCTGCATCTCTTCGTCAGCCAATAGTTGAGTGACTGGGTGGCTCTCTACCTTACCGTAATGGCGGGTCACTGGCTTCCTTCCACTTGCTATGATTATAATGACCTTGGTAGAGCTGAGGCTTGAAAACACTGGATTAAGGGGAAAGGAAAAGAAGAGGTTTCCATTTCACTCTTGGCATAAAATTTGTGGGGGATTTCTGCCAAGAATCCCCCACATCACCACCGCCACCCCCCAACCCCTAAAAGTTGATGGGGCCTGGGTGCTCCGGCGGAGTCAGACGAGTGCAACTCAAGCAAATAATGATAGACTTTAACTTAGAAATGAATTAAAGGGCAGGGGAAAGGTGCTGAATGTCACCATGCAGCAGCATCACAGAGAGCACAGAAACCTGATTTCTGTGGATATTCATACTGAGTGGACAAAGTAGGCTCTGCCTTTTGTGCCTTACTTGATACTAACTGAAAACAGACTGAAGTGAAAAAACTGTCATGTATGATTTAATGTGCCTGGTTTCGAATAAGTAGCTAAGCTTCAGGCTGGAGATCGATACTTGCCCACAGATGTTAATCTTATATGCTACTTCAGGCAATTGGTAAAGCACATTGACACAGCAGGGTGGTGTTTTGTCGTGTTAAAATGCTTTGTGGGTTTTTATGTTGCTTAACATAAGTTCTCGGAATAACTTCTCTCACATTGCCATTGAGTAATTTATTTAAATGTGCATGCCCAGTGAGTTGATGCAGCACATTATAGAGTCTGTTGAATAGGCTAATAACTGAAGTTGTTAATTGACTTATTATTGGTGTAAGTTTCACCAGGTATCACATCCACTTTTGGTAAGTTTTGGCTAAAGGCATCATTTGGGACCTGCTGAGCACAGCCATATCAGTACTGTAAAAGTGGAGGTGAAGTGGTTTTGTTCAACATCACTGATGGAAAAGACTCGACTCAACCCAGATGTTCGCTGCACATCCAGAAATTCAAATCCAGACCACTTACCTAGTCTTTAAACTAACACAGTGTTGACATAAGAAATTGCCTTCACTGGCAAACTTTGTCTCATAACTGTCATATCCAAATTTTATTTAAAGACCCATTCAAGAGACAAACATCTAACCTTTACTAACTCTCAGCACAGAAGTAATGACTGATAATTTCCACAAGTCATTGCCTCAAGTCAAAGATCCCACTATGTAATATTGCACATGGTATTGTAATCAAGTTGGAGCAATA